ATCAAAGAAAAAATATGAAGCTATCTTGTAGTGAGAGGAGAATGATAACAATAAGCTTGTGTTTAATCTTCTGCCTTTCTAACTCAATACTTGTTATTGCTTCTCCTGCTAAAGACTTGTGTCTTCCAGACCAGAGGGATGCTCTTTGGGAGTTCAAGAACGAGTTCTATATCCAAAGGCCCGATTGGAGGATGTCTGAAACAGCAATAGAGAGATGGAGGAACAACACTGATTGCTGTTCTTGGGATGGTGTCTCTTGTGATCCTAAGACAGGCAAGGTCATTGTGTTAGATCTCATGGGAAGTTATCTCAATGGCCCTTTGAGATCTAATAGCAGCCTGTTTAGACTACAACCATTTCAACACCTTGCCTTTAAGATGAGTCTCCAATAAGCCCACTGCCTCATGAATATAGCACTTTGCTGAAATCTTGAATGGCTTTGTATACTCACTCGGACTAAAGTACATTTTAAGAGGTTGTAGAGCTTCGATTTCCTCATTAGAATCCTGCAATCAAGATCAAGTTGGACCAAGTTATACAAAGTTGTACCTTTTAGTTTTAAAACTTCTAAGTTAGAAAAACAGAATAGTTATACCAAGTTATTTATAAGTTAGCTTCAGATTCCACTACCGCCGGCGGTGGTACTTCTTCAAGATTGGCTTCTGGCGGAGTTAAAGATACATTTGCGTTCTTTGTTCGAGGCATAACTCCCTTCCACAAACCTACAAACAAAATCATTTACATTAGCACTTCCATTCAATATTTCAATCGATTCAACTACCACTAACATTCTCCGTCTCTTCGGATTCTATACAAACATAACGAACAATCGATTTCAATACTCGCGGACTTTCACTCGATTTCAATCGCAAAACCCAAAATAAAAACTCGATTTTACCTTGCCCAATAACGTAGTTATCTGTAGTTATACCAAGATCGACTCTGAAGAAATAGAAGAGACACGAAAGGGATAAACCAATGTCGCCGTCGAAGGATTTTTCTCCAAGGAATGAACTGCTCCGATCTATTCAACCCTAGAAAAAAGTGTTTTACCCGTTTTAATTGGAATCGACCCAATAAAAAAGGGTTCGGGTATTTTCCAACCCAATTAACTTGATTGGGTCGTGAATATTTGATATTTTGAAGGGTTAAAAGGTCTTTGTCTTCTTTTTCGATTTTTTTAAAATCAAAATTAAATTACATTTTATAACAGGAGCAATTGAGAAAAGTTTTGGAGTTTGAGGAGCCCCTGAGAAATTTGATCCTATATGAAGGTGGCATTCTAGCATATTTTTTTTCGAGAAAGTAGCTTGCTAGCCATTACAGGTCGCATTCCACCATCTCTGTCCAACTTGACTGATCTCGAATCATTGGATCTATCTAAAAATAAATTATCCAGCAAAATCCCACCAGAGCTCGGGAAACTCACGTTTCTTGCACAAATGAACTTCTTTTACAACATTCTTGAAGGTCCAATACCACGTTTTTTTTGTTAACGAGAAAAAAAATAAAGTTTTATTGATTGATTCAGTTGGAGTTTGATAATAATTGTTAATCCAAATGTTCAGGACAACTAATATCATTCCTTTAGCTGTATTTTTATATTTCTACGTGAATTAGAAGTGATAAGACAAGCCTCCCAATTTTTGTGAATAAAACAGAGAAGGTCATGCAGAGGAAAAGTCTAAACGAAAACTTTGAAGTGAAGAAATATTAAAGACAAAGACCAAGGAAATAAACTATTGATATTAGTTGATTAATTAAGAAAATTTTCAAAGATGTAACAGAAGAATAAAAAAGTTGATTTCGCAAGGCAAAGACTTGGTCCGTCTACAAGGGGTTCATCGTCACTTTCACTGTCACTCTCTCAACCCACAAAGAGAGCTGAATTTTTGCAGAGCGTTTGAATGCTTAACCCACACCACACGGCTGGGAAAATTGGTGTTTGTGAAAATATCTTATCTTGTTGTCTTCAAAGGAGAATTGTTAAGTCAAGCTTTAATTTACTCCACAAATGTGAGACATTTCGTTTCATAGAAAAAAATCAAAGAAAAAAAGAAACAGTCTTGTAGAGAGAGGAAGATGATAACAATAAAATGGAGCTTGTGTTTAATCTTCTTTCTTTCTAACTCAATACTTGTTATTTCTTCTCCTGCTAAACCCTTGTGTCTCCCAGACCAGAGGGATGCTCTTTTGGAGTTCAAGAACGAGTTCTATGCGCAGACAGAGATGAAGTCTTATGCGCAGACAGAGAAGTGGAGGAACAACACTGATTGCTGTTCTTGGGATGGTGTCTCTTGTGATCCTAAGACGGGAGTGGTGGTTGAGTTGAACCTCGTGGACTATGGTCTCAATGGCCCTTTGCGATCTAATAGCAGCCTGTTTAGACTACAACATCTTCAGAGCCTGAATCTTGCCTTCAATAATATTTCTGGTACTCTACCAGACTCCATCGGCAATCTCAAGTATTTGAGGGTTTTGCATCTTGGTAGTTGCAATTTCTATGGAAAGATCCCTTCTTCACTCGGAAGTCTTTCTTATCTCGCTGATCTTTATCTTTCTCACAATCATTTCACCAGTGAACGACCAGATTCGATGGGTAACCTAAACCGACTAACAGATTTCCAACTTATGCTACTCAACTTGAGCTCGCTCGCCAATGTCGACCTTAGTTCTAACCAGTTCAGAGGTATGCTCCCATCTAACATGAGTAGTCTCTCCAAACTGGAGGTTTTTGATATTAGTGGAAATTCATTTTCTGGAACCATTCTCTCTTCTCTCTTCATGCTCCCTTCGTTGGCCTACCTTGACCTACGAAGAAACGACTTCAGCGGTCCTCTTGAGATTGGGAATTTCTCTTCACAATCCAAACTCCGACAGTTATACATTGGAGAAAACAATTTCAATCCGGGCATTGTTGATTTGAGTATTTTCTCACGTCTCTTGTCACTTCTGAGTCTGGATCTTTCAGGGATTAATTTGAAGAACACTTCAACTCTTAGTCTTCCTTCAGCCATGGAGACAGTGATTTTATCATCCTGCAATATTTCTGAGTTTCCCAAGTTTCTACAAAACCAAACCAGTTTGATTTCTTTAGACATCTCTGCCAATCAAATTGAAGGCCAAGTACCAGAATGGTTATGGAGACTACCAAAGTTGTGGTCTGTTAACATTTCTCAGAATTCTTTCAATGGCTTTGAAGGACCTGCGGATGTTATTCAAAGAGGTGGAGGACGAATTACTATGCTAGACATAAGTTCAAACACTTTCCGGAATCCGTTTCCTTTGTTACCACGCTCTACGTCGGACTTTTTCAGCTCCGATAATCAGTTTTCGGGAGATATTCCTTGGACAATTTGCGAACTGGATAATCTTCAAATACTTGTTTTATCCAACAACAACTTTAGCGGTTCTATTCCTCGGTGTTTTAAGAATTTATCTCTTTGGGTCTTGCATCTTCGGAATAACAGCCTGTCTGGTGTTTTTCAAGAGGAATCTATCAGTGTTGTCTTAGGATCACTTGATATTGGTCACAACCTTTTTTCAGGAGAGCTTCCCAAGTCATTGATAAACTGCAGTCAACTCGAGTTTCTGAAAGTGGAAGATAACAGAATCAATGGCACGTTTCCTTTATGGTTGAGATTGTTGCCCAATTTACAGACTCTTGTTCTTCGTTCGAACGAGTTTTATGGGCCAATATCTTCTCCTAAAGATTCTGTAAGTTTTCCTAAGCTGCGAATCTTTGATATATCAGATAATCGCTTCACTGGAGTCTTGCCATCAGAGTACTTTGCGGGGTGGACTGCAATGTCATCAGTCGTAAACATTGTAGATAGTGAGCTGCATGGATATGGGGGTAACTATCATAAGTCGGTGGATCTAATAAACAAAGGATTGAAGATGGAGCTGGTTGGGAGTGGTTTCACAATCTACAAAACCATCGACGTCTCCGGAAACAGATTCGAAGGAGACATCCCTGAATCCATTGGTCTTCTCAAGGAACTGATTGTGCTCAACATGTCAAACAACGATTTCACAGGCCATATTCCACCATCTCTATCGAACTTGAGCAATCTCGAATCATTGGATCTATCTCAAAACAGATTATCCGGCAGTATCCCACCAGAGCTCGGAAAACTCACGTTTCTAGAGAGGATGAACTTCTCTTACAACATGCTTGAAGGTCCAATACCACAAGCCACTCAGATTCAAAGCCAGAATAGTTCTTCATTTACAGGGAATCCCAATCTATGCGGTGTTCCTCTCCAAGAAACCTGCGGCCGAGAAGAAGAGACAACACAACAGAAAAATGAAGAAAAGGAAGAGAAAGATCAAGTATTGAGCTGGATCGCAGCTGCAATAGGCTATGTACCTGGTGTTGTGTGTGGACTCACCATCGGCCACATTCTCACTTCATATAAACGTGACTGGTTCATGAGAATTGTTTCACTCTTTACTTAAGTAAGCATCACGTACTAGGACGATGATGTCCCCTAGCTTGCAACTCTAATTCGATAAACTTTATCAACACTTTGTTTGAAGATCATATTATCAATCTATTCTACACTTATTCGAAATATATAGTGTATATTCTAAAGTCGTAAAGAATATGTTTTGCAACGTTTTATGTAGAAACAAAAGTTGTATAATAGTTATGGCATGAAACTTTGGTTACAGAGGATTGTTGTATTATATGACAGAGGATTAATTTTATGAACCAAAAAAAAAGAAACCAATAAAGTAGAACCGAAACGGTCTAAATTTAAAAGTTTGTGTATATGTGTAACACTAATGTTTTGAGTTGTATTATAAGTGTGTTATGCATAGAGTTAGTTCTATAGTTTCCTATAATTTCGTTACCAATACTACTGTATCTCTGTCTCTTCTCTTCTTTGCTTTCATTTTTTTTCAGATTCAGTTCCATCAACACAAAGAACCCTAAAAAAATTTCACATTACGTTTCATCACCAAGAAAAAACGGAAAAAATAATTTATTAATTACGTCTTCCACATTTCATGATTTTGTTTTGGTGTACAAAAATGGAAGAGATGAAAAAGGTTTGAGATACGATTCGAATATTCTTTTGCTACTTCTAGCTTCCAGATTTTTTCTTCTTTTTGATTTATTTCATTTACTGGTGATTTGATTATTTTATTGTGGACAAGGTAACGTATAGAAAATGAGTTTTTGTGGGTCTTCATCTTTTTCTTTTGATTTGTTAACATCTTTTGAGGAAAATCAGAAAAAATCGAAAGATCCTAGATTTTGTATAGTCGCAGCTGTTTCTTGTGACATCGTTTGATTTTTTGTTTATGGGTTAAGATTTGTCTTTTTCCTTGCTTATATCTCTCTGTTTTGTCTCTGTCTCTGTCTCTGTGTAATCTACTTGTGGCCATTTGTCTGGTTATTGAATTTTCTGCCACAAAGAATATTTTGAATCTCAGATTTTATATTTTCAGAACATGACTGGTGAGGCAATTGCTAAAATTAATTAGTAATCGTTTGGAATATATGTGTTTTATGTTGATTTTGATTATAGAGTGTATATTTAATCTGATTCTTATTTGTTTGTGTGTTTTTTTTGTAGACGCAATAGCTATCTTCAGCCTAAACTTTCTGGAATTTTTCATCATTAGCAACCTGAAATCATATTAATTTGTAAATAAGCAAAACTATAAATATTATCAAAGATGGAGGAGATGTCACCTGATAATATACATGGAGTCATTTTAGCTGTGTCTTCGAGTATATTCATCGGCTCTAGCTTCATCATCAAGAAAAAAGGTCTTAAGAAGGCCGGTGTTAGCGGCGCCAGAGCAGGTTCTCTGATTCATTGAGAGCTTTTACTTACTCTCTCTTGCTCTTCAATTTTTGTTTAATTATTTTTGCTTATTCTTGTTAATCATCTGTGATTAGGTGAAGGAGGTTATGGATACTTGTATGAACCATGGTGGTGGGCTGGGATGATAACTAGTAAGTCTCATCATTATCTTTTATATTGGTTTTGGGAAATTGTGCTGGAAATCATTTTACATGTTTGCTATTTAGCTAGAGATGTTATGACTTTGGCAGTTTTGTGTGCTTGGGACATGTTTTGGATCTTATCACTATTGAAACAGTCTCTCTATTACCAAGATAATGTTTCTAGTCCTTTGCAAATGGTTCATGGAAGACTCATTGTTTATAATGATCTGAAAAATTTGGTTTTATATTGAGACATCATGGTTCTGTATGACAGAAATCTGATAGTTTGGAAGAGTAATATCATTAGATTCTGCTGAAAAATATGAACAAGCAAAACCATTGAAGAGTAATATCATTAGATTCAGTTGGATATAATCAATGGACATGAAGCTTTGGTTATGATTAGTAATATTGTATTCCTATTAATTCTTACAGTGATTGTTGGGGAGATAGCCAATTTTGCAGCTTATGCATTTGCACCGGCTATTCTAGTGACACCTTTGGGAGCTCTAAGTATTATTTTCAGGTATCTGTATCCACGATGCCTATCTCTTCCCGTTGTGTCTGCATTGACGTAGTTTCCTGAAAACGAAAACCGTGTTATGCAGCGCAGTGCTAGCACATTTTATTTTGGAAGAGAAGTTGCATATGTTTGGTATACTTGGTTGTGTCCTCTGTGTTGTTGGATCTACAACGATTGTTTTACATGCTCCTCACGAGCAAGACATTGAATCAGTCAAGCAAGTATGGCACCTTGCTACCGAACCAGGTATAGAACTATAAATGTTCTTGACAAAAAATAGATTCTAATTGGACTGAAACATGCTCTATTGCTTGAATGTTTTAAACAGGTTTCCTTGCGTATTCTGCTGTGGTTTTGGTTGTGGTGCTTGCATTGATCTTCTACTACGAGCCGCGTTATGGGAAGACACATATGATAGTATATGTTGGGATTTGCTCTTTAATGGGCTCTCTTACTGTACGTTTTCATCTTCTTCTTTAGCCACCTCTTAGTATATATCTCTACTCGCTTATAAGTAAGTGTCTAGGTATCTCTTGCGTGTTAGGTTATGAGTGTTAAAGCTGTGGCGATCGCCATAAAGCTGACTTTTTCCGGGATGAATCAGTTCAAGTACTTCCACGCATGGATCTTTATCATAGTAGTGACCATATGTTGCATTTTGCAAATCAACTACTTGAACAAGGTAATAAAAAATATTGGTTTTACTGTCACATTACAATATTTTCCAACTAACAAATCCTTTTTTCATCTTTGCAGGCTCTGGATAATTTTAACACAGCGGTCATATCTCCAGTTTACTACGTTATGTTTACAACATTCACCATCTTAGCTAGTATGATCATGTTCAAGGTAAAATGCGGTTTTTGAGAAGTGATCATAGACTAAAAGATTCCAATTTATGAGTTAATCATCATCATTTGTTTATGGTCCAGGACTGGGCTTCTCAAAGCGGATTGCAAATTGCGACCGAGCTATGTGGTTTTGTGACCATTTTGTCAGGAACCTTTCTTCTCCATAAGACAAAGGACATGGGAAACAGTGCCAGCTTACGTGGCTCCACATCACACTCGCCTAGAGACACTCCTGTTTTCATAAACTCAGGTTCCAGTCGCAGTTCCAATTCCACTAGGCCTGCAATTTTGTAATCCCACGGCTCCGATGGTAGATCATCTAACGGTCTAGAACGAGGCAACATGAGCACAAAAGCCTCAAAGAGAACTTTTTTGGGTGGAAAGTGAGAAAAACAGAGCATATTGGGTTTAAGGGTATAATTTGTTTTTTGGATAAGAGAAGGTTTAGTGAATGATTTGTTAGGGATACTATTCGATTGATTGCTTCATGTTTTTAAATTTTAATTTTTTTGTTTGTTTCTCATATGAGATATAAAGATAGTTCTAAAACACAGAATTAAAGTTCACAGCTTCACAAATTTTTCTTCACATTCTTTTTGTCTTTCTCATTTTGTATAATTTGGTCTAATTACTAATCAAGAACACATTGGTCCAAAGGAACGATATAACCATATACCTTAATTTCTCTAGCTTTCATCGACTTAATGTGACCGTGACCGTTACGAATCTCAAAAGAGATTTGATGAGAAGAACAGTTAACAATATGAAGAACCTAATCAGCCTTAGCTTCAAATGTGTATGTCCTTAAAAAACGAGAGGTTAATTAGTCTAGTGAGTTGTAGATAAAATGGCACATGTTATTGTCTTATAAATAAGTTTTTTTTATGCCATTTTCCAAACAATAGACCGGACAAAAGACCTAATAAAAGGCATCTTTTTGTGTATTATGGTGATCATTTTCCGTAGCGTGGATGTGATTTAAGAGAAGCAGACAAGTGAAGATGGGACATGAGAGTTTGGTCGATTCTTTAATTTTTATATGAAAACTAAAATTGACTTTCCCTAACTAAACAAACTTCCACGACTCTTCTACTCTTTTTCCATGTGATCTTCTTCTTTCACTCTTTTGGGGCTATCATTTATTCAGGACACTCGCCTAAGTACCGCTTTAACTCTTCTTTGACCACTTGACACAACTCAAAAGGGGTCTCAGGATGAGACTAGTGCCCATAAAAATAAAAAATCGGAGAACGTAACCGTACGTACTTTGGCCCGACCGGTTTTGTGAAAAGGAAAATCATCGTATTTTTCTTGTCTCTTGGGTAGATATTTTAAGATATTTTGGATTCTAAGATCTTTTGAATCGGATAATTTGAGATTTGAAGGTTTAAAATCACGTATCTTGGACACTAATGCATTAAAATTTATGTATTATAGTACTTAGTAGTTAGGTTTGGATACTACGAGTATGTTGATGGGTACTTGCTACACGACTTTACGATATTCGAGTATCTTGATTTCACGAATCAGATAACATATACATAACATAAAATTCTTATGAATTGTGTTCAGTGTTCACGTTTGCATGTGAATAGGATTTTGGTAGTTAGGTATGGATACTAAAAGTTGGATACTTGCTATACGATCTTACGATATTCAGGTATCTTGATTTTAGACTAGATATGAATCAGATAACATATACGGAACAGAAAATGCTTATAGTGTTCACGTGTGCGACGTTTACGTCAATAACTTCACCACTCAATACATTAGTTACTTGGAACACGTAAAAATCTACATTGAATAGTCAACATCACAATATAGATAGAATTAAGTAGCGTTAACATGCATTGATATGGTTACTGTTACAACAAATTCTATTACCGTTATTAATGTTCTTAGTTTAATGTGTACCATTCATTCAGCTGTTAAGTAAAAAAAAATATCGGTATCTTGAGAATTGCAGCTGAAGACAGAACTAATGTAGCCATTGGCCACATGCATGTAGGACACAGGCTTCTTCTCAACACCCCAACATTTATTAAACTACATCTTCCTAAAATCCAAATGCTTTAACTAATCTGTTTGTCAAAACCATGTCCTTGTAGGTCACACTCACAATTCATAGACATGTTATTTTCAATAAAACCTTTCTAACTCCACCAATATATATAGACCCACATTTCCCTTAGGCTCATAAATCAAACTCAAAGCTTCTCTCATCATCATCAACTGTAACCATTGATTCCAAGCTTTTTTTTGTTTCGAATACTCGAAATGGCATTCTTAAGGAGTTTTTTTGCTACCAAGCAAATCATTCGCCGGTCTTTTACTACGGAATCATCATCAACGCCCAAAGGGTTCTTCGCTGTGTATGTTGGAGAAAACCTGAAGAAGAAGAGATTTCTTGTTCCGGTTTGTTACTTGAACAAGCCATCTTTCCAAGCTTTGCTTAGGAAAGCAGAAGAAGAGTTCGGTTTTGATCATCCAACTGGTGGTTTGAGTTTACCATGCGACGAAGCTTTCTTCTTCATTGTCACTTCTCAGATTTGTTAAGCCCATACAATAATTAAAGATCTTTTTTACATTCTCTTATTTATAGAAGAAAATACACATTGTAAATATTACACTTTTATATACATACTGATGAGAAGAATAATTCAACGAACATCTTTTGCTTTCGTTTTCTATATTTACTTAGTCCATAACTCCATAAATTGGATTGAAGGCAATATTATCAGCCACAAAAAGCTTAAATATTATAGTTCTCTACTTCAGTATTTTCATCAAGACTATACTTCTTCTTTCTCGCATCAAATTTTAAAATATTATTCAAGACTTAAACCAAATCGGAAATACGTACAAACAAACCTAAAGGAAATATTCCAAACCCGCTAAAAAGTAAAAGAAAAAAAAACATTTTGTAATGGATAAATCTCATGTTATTCAATCATGAGTTTTTTTAAAAGAATTTTAAAATTTGGTGTTATTATTTAAAAATGTTACTTAAAATACTTGTTCTCTGTTTCAAAATCTTTGTGTCAAGTTTAATCATTGTTAAAAATCTACTAGTGATGAAGTCTTAACGATGAAGAAAATGACATGATTTACCATATTTATAAGGTTCTGTTATTCCTGATGCTCCTGGTGGTGAATCTCATCATCTAACAAAATCATTGGTTGAAAAGGTTGGAAAATTGGTTGCAGAGTATGTTGAAGCCATGGAAAAGGTGAGTAATATTATATGAACTTTGGTCTAGTATGACTATCTTAGTTTCAGTTAGGGCCGACTCAACTAATTTGGAGTCCCTGTACAAATTTTAAAAACTGGCCATTTTTCATTCAAAAAAAGAAATGGGTCTTCTTCATGTTAAAAGTTTTTTAAAAATTGGTCTTTTTCATACTAAAAAAAATATTTGGGCTTTTTTTATGTTAAAAATATCTTAATGTTTTAAAAATTATCTTTTTTTCTTGCTAAAAAAAAATTTGGGCCCTTAAATTTACCAAAAATTTTTTTGCCCCTGTACATTTGCTCCACAAGCACACCCCATACGCCGGCCCTGGTTTCAGTGCATGGTTGATTATGTTCTTAGTAAATCTTGTTCATTTGATGCAGGTTAAGATCACACAAGGGTTGAAAAAACTGCTATGACAATTTTGAGTGAAGGGAACTTTTACTTGCAACCTTCACTTTTACTTGCACACTTGCAGTTAGTTATATTCTCATTAACAAAATTTTATATTAGCTTTATTGGGTGTTCAATCTAACCAACATTATGTTGTTTTGTCCCATGTAGGAAAGCGGATTTTGGAAACTTTACAAGGAAGATAACCTTTTTGTGCCTTTGTTATAAGAACTGTCACTGGTTTAGTGCACCTTCTTTCTCAATCGTTAGAACCTTTCATGCCATTATTTTCTCGTGAGGTTGGTTTGATTACTTTTTTTTTAATAACATTGATTCTGATTAGTTTTTGTCGAACGGAAGCGTGATTAGTGTTGTCTCTTGCATTTTGTAGGTATTTAAACAGTTACATTTGCCTCTAGATTTTTCCCTCTCTGACGAGAGAGGAGAGGTGTTACTAGCAAAGTAGACCTTGGGAGATTCTGCCTCCAATCCACATGATAGGCACCCCTCAACCATTGTTTAGAGAATTGGTACATACATACATAGCTCTCTCATTTTAACCATAATGTTATCCATGTAGCAGTCATTTGAGTTATATATCTTGTGAAATGATATAATCACATAAAGATGAAGAAGTGCAACAATATGAAGAAATGTTCGCTAGAAGTTCTGGGTGAAAGGCGTGCTCATGTTGTAAATCTGTTTTGTTAAAACCGAAATAAATGGACTTCGGAGAGAGTTTCCATACAACATAGGATGTGCTTTTGTTAATGCTGTAAATGTTTTTAGGATAATGTTTTTTGTTACTTTCCTTTAGTTTCACAAAATTTTAATGTGATTAATTCACTAAGGGGGTGTTATTGGTTCCTAATTTTTACAAGAAATTTTGATGACTTTAATAAAATCATTCGAAAATAAATAAATGAAAGATTCTAAAATATTGCTAAAGAGTTTTCTATAATCTTGTTGATCTGTTTTTTTTCATAATCTTATAAAGTTTTCCAAATAATCTCTTTATATTGATGATACTTTTCATAATTTTATTTTGTGAAGAAAAGTGTAGAAAGTCACAAACTAATAACATAATAATTTAATTTATTAACAATCATAGATTTTTTGTTTTAATTGAATAACACAAAACTTTTAATGATTTTATAAAAATATGAATCTAATAACTACAGATTTATGAAGACTTTAGAATTACTTTTTACAAATTTTAAATTAATACACCAAACTTTAACAAACTTTTAAAAAATCTTTTTTTTTTCGGTAAGAAACTTTTAAAAATTTTTGATTGAATAACAAGAGATTCTACATAACATTTAAAGTCACTAAAACTCTATTTAAATCACAAAACACTACATCCCTAAAGGAGTAAAGAAAGCTATTTGGATTCCAGTTTAGTTCCATACCAGTAAGATCAATAACTTGCAAATGCAATTCAAGTATTAAACCGGCCATTGATAAAATTCCGGTCCGGTCTAAACATAACCGGATCTATCTGAGACCGCCGTTACTTAGGTTTACTAGCTAAAAGAGCTTCTTCTGTTTCTCGGCCTCTCTGATTCGTCTTTCTCCTCTATCTCTGACTCTTCGCGAAAACCCTAATTAGCTTTGTGGTCTTGTTGTTTTCGCCATGGAAGACGACGGCAAGAGCAGCCCCAAGTTACCGATTCCTGGCAAGAGAAATATACTAATCACCAGTGCTTTGCCTTACGTCAACAACGTTCCTCATCTCGGAAACATCATCGGATGTAATTTGAATCTCTCATCTCTTCATCTGTATACAATTCATGTTTCCGTCTTCTCTGATTGCATGTTTTTGTTTATGAATTTCTGTTCTAGAACGAGATGTTTTGTTCAGATGTAGAAATCAATTTAGCTTTGAAATCATCTGAATCTAATTTTGCATCTGAAGCTGTTGAAAATTGTTTTTAAGACTGGTTAATCTATGGAATTGCAAACAATGTGTGTACGAGTGTGTGACACACGACTGATAAGGATGGTTTTTTTTTTGAGTGTGTGAGGATTGCTTTTTCCAGGTTTCTCGTTGGGTTTATGCAATGTTTTTGTGTGTGTTATCTTACAGGTGTTCTGAGCGCTGATGTGTATGCTAGATACTGTCGTCTCCGTGGCTATAATGCGATATATATATGTGGAACCGATGAATATGGGACTGCAACTGAGACCAAAGCTTTGGAGGAGAATTGCACTCCCAAGGAAATCTGTGACAAGTAATGTATCTTGATTTCTTATTTTTGTTGTTGCATAGCTTTATGTTTCAGTTTGTCAGCATATACTGACTGAAAATAGATAGAATTTGTCTGTGATGACGGTTTGGGATTTAGACATGTCTTGATATAATTTTTATCGGTAGGTTGGCAATGTATAGGTTTATGTATCTTGACAAGAATTCTGAATCTTAATTGTATATCCTTGTTCAAAAAATTAGTCGAGAGAACTATATACACACGTTTTCACAGATTTTCAGGAATGGTTTTTGTGAGAACCTTTCAGATATCTTTGGTGGAGAACTTTCACTGGAGCATCAATTTTTTTGTTGTTGTTGTGAATATAGGTACCATGCTATTCATAAAGAAGTTTATGACTGGTTTGATATAAGTTTTGACAAGTTTGGGCGAACTTCAACTCCAGAACAGACTGAAGTGTGTCAAGCAATTTTCAAGAAGTTGTGGGATAATAAGTGGCTTTCAGAGAACACCATGCAGCAGGTGAATGCTTTTACTCAAATGCCAGTTAGACTTATTTGATCGCAAAAGCATACATATGTTCTTCGTAAGTAGAAGAATCTACACCTCAGTTAGTGGGGGTTTTAACTCTCATGTCTTTGTGGCCCATTGTATCTTCAGCTTTACTGCGATACATGCAAGAAGTTCTTAGCTGACCGGCTTGTTGAGGGTTCTTGTCCGTTTGAAGGATGTAATTATGATTCTGCTCGTGGAGATCAGTGCGAAAAATGTGGAAAGCTCCTGAATCCTACTGAACTTAAAGATCCGAAGTGCAAGGTGGGCTATGCTTTTCTTCTTCATGGCCATCATCCCATTAAGGGATTGTATATGTGTGATTTTATACTGTTTATAGCACTGCATTACATTAGTCGTAAAGTCTCTCGGGGACATTGCATGTTTCTTCACGCCAGTACAAATTCCCCTTCACAAAAAAGATCTTGGGTGTGAAATTCTTTCTATTGTAGAAATATCTATTTAACTTAAATGTTGAAACATGAGGCGCAGTTGCACTAGTTAATAAGTGAAGACAGTTATCATGCAATTATAGTGCTCTGCGGCCGTACAGATTTATTGCATATGCTTGTAATATATATTACTGGTAATAGCTAGCTGATTTTGTTTGTCTGGAGCATGCTTTGTTTTTCTGGTTTCACAGATTTCACTGTATAGGCCATTGTGTTTGTTGATTTGGTTTTCTACATAGGGGCAGGACTATGGTCTGTTATTATAATTACTGTGAATACTAATGATTTATCTCTCAAACAGGTCTGTCAAAACACACCCCGAATTCGCGACACAGACCACCTGTTTATTGAGCTTCCGTTACTGAAAGATAGGTTGGAAGAGTATATTAACGAGACCTCTGTTACTGGATCTTGGAGTCAAAATGCGATTCAAACGACAAATGCATGGCTTAGGGATGGGCTTAGACAGAGATGCATTACAAGGGATCTTAAGTGGGGAGTGCCTGTCCCACATGAGAAATATAAGGAGAAAGTAGGAACCTCACTGCCAGTCAATTTCATAAAAATTTAAACATCAACTACTAATTCCAATCATGGTTACAGGTCTTCTATGTTTGGTTTGATGCTCCTATTGGATACGTCTCAATAACGTCATGCTACACATCTGAATGGGAGAAGTGGTGGAAGAATCCTGAGAATGTGGAGCTTTATCAGTTTATGGGGAAAGACAATGTGCCATTTCACACTGTGAGTATATAACATTTCAGAAATTTGTTTACCGCCAATGACTTGTGCCAATGGTTTTAATTATTCCCTCTGCCAATGTGTAAATTTGATTGTTTTCAACTGCTAATTTTTTGTTATGCAGGTGATGTTTCCCTCTACCCCAGCTTGGAACTGGGGAAAATTGGACACTGATGAAGACAATCAGTGTGACTGAATATTTAAACTACGAAGACGGTCAGTTGATGTTTCACCATAGCTGAGTGATTTTGTTTGATTTGCTTTTTCTGCCATTTATAGATAATGAGGACATGTGTTTTGTATGGGTTTTCAGGAAAGTTCTCCAAGAGTAAAGGTGTTGGAGTGTTTGGTAATGATGTAAAAGATACAAATATACCTGTCGAAGTATGGAGATACTACTTGCTGACCAACAGGCCTGAGGTAACTGATTGCTGCTACAAAATGGAAACATTGTTTCTTCGTTCATCATAGGCATGCATAAATGTGTAAATATCACCAACACTGATTGATTCTGGGGATTCTGCCTTCTAGGTGTCTGACACATCATTTTCATGGACTGATTTGCAAGCAAAACTGAATGGCGAGTTGCTGAACAACCTAGGCAACTTTGTTAATCGAGTTCTGAGTTTTATAGCAAAGCCTGATAATGCAGGTTGGTTATATTTCTTTCAAAATCAATATTTAAGTATTGGGTGTTAGCTGTAGATGGCTTTTTAGTTTGGCATATCCAATATAAAATATGGGATGAGTTGTATTCTTTTATTGAAACCAGCCAGTTGGTGTGCAAGTGAGAGATATTTGAATCGCGGGACATCAATCTGCTGTCAAATGTTAGCTTGTGATCTTGGTTTTCAATTTTTTTGAACAAATAGGTAGTCTAAAAACTCTAAGATGATAGAAAGGTGCATCTGGCTTGCAAGAGTCGTTACTATTATGATTATCCTGCTAAAGATGTAACGTTCTCTGATAAGATTCCTCTCTTTGTAAACTTGTATGGACATGGAATGATTAACTGATCATATAACATATATAAAGATCGGTATACATGTATATGTATATCTGTTCATACACTCTAGTAGATGGTCAAATGTTGCATTTGGCTTTCCAAAAAAAAAAAACTGGGCATGCGGTTGTGGGATAGCATAAAATATTAAATTCTCTTAGAAACAGTTAGAACTTGTAGATACGAGAAACTTGCTAGGTTACCTGCTTTGTGATACTCTTAACAACTAGGGCAAGACTTTTCGTATTTGTCTCTGATGTTTCAACTGCCTTACTATTGCATGTTTTGTGAAGGTTATGGGTCTGTCATTCCTGATGCTCATGATGCTGAATCTCATCCTTTAACAAAATCACTGGCGGAAAAGGTTGAAAAGTTTGTGGCAGAGTATGTCGAAGCCATGGAAAAGGTGAGTAATGTTATATGAATCTTGGCATGGTATGGATATCTGAGTTTCTGTGCCTGGGTTTTTAGGTTCTTAAATAAATCCCCTGTTCAATTGATGCAGGTTAAGCTCAAGCAGGGGCTGAAAACTGCTATGCTGATTTCAAGCGAAGGGAACTTTTACTTGCAGGTAATTCTATTCTCATTAACAAACTATATATTAGCTTTGTTGCCTATTCAGTCTAACCTACTATACTGTTTTCTTGTGTCCATGTAGACAAGCCAATTTTGGAAACTTTACAAGGAAGATAAACCTTTGTGTGCAGTTGTTATAAGAACTGCTGCTGGTTTAGTTCACCTTCTTGCTCAGTTGTTAGAACCTTTCATGCCATCCTTTTCTTGTGAGGTCGGTTTGATTGTTTGTTTGGTAAATTTTGTTTCCATTTAGTCGTAGTAGAATGCCAAGCGTGATTAGTGCTGTCTATTACATTTTGTAGGTATTTAAACAGCTAAATTTGCCTCCACAATTTTCTCTCTCCGACGAGAGGGGAGAGGTATTACTAGCAAGTAGACCATGGGATATTCTGCCTCCTAGCCACAGGATAGGCACCCCTCAACCTTTGTTCAAGGAGTTGGTACGTAGCTCTCAGATTTTATCTGTAAAAAGCCAGGCCTGTTGTATCTTATAATGCCATGTAGCATTTGATTTATATTGAAACGATCACAGGAAAACGATGTAGTGACACAGTACAGAGAAAAGTTTGCTGGAAGTCAGGCTGATAGACGTGCTAGGGATGAAGCAGCAAATTTGACAGATCAGCTTAATAAAACAAAACTTTCAGGTCTCTATTGTTATTCTCAAAATACTGTTTTACACTTTAGGCTTTAGGCTTTCAGTAACTTGCGTATGTACTGAACTGCTGTTTTTTCTCCCAGATGCCAAGAAACAAAAGGCATCATCATCAAAAGGCGGAGGAAAACCAAAACCTCAACCAGCTGCTGATCGTGAAATAACTATGGCAAGACTTGATATTCGAGTAGGTAAAATTGTGAAGGCTGAGAAACATCCTAAAGCAGATACATTGTATGTAGAAGAAATTGATGTTGGGGGTGGTGAAATTCGCACTGTTGTTAGTGGACTAGTCAAATATATACCTCTTGAGGAAATGCAGGTTTGTCCAATCAAATATAGTCATGTGTTTTCTTCTCGATATCAGTATGTAATCCCTTCTAATTGATCTAATATTGTTTCTGGACAGAACCGTATGGTTTGTGTTCTTTGCAACTTGAAGCCAGTGAAAATGAGGGATATTGTGTCGCAAGCAATGGTTCTTGCAGCTTCCAGTAGTGATGGAAGCAAGGTAAAGTGCACACGAGTCTCTGACCTGTTTGTAGTTCCGCTATTTTCATTTCGATTGTGTAACAAATTGTTTTTGCTGGAAACCTTTCAGGTGGAGTTAGTTGAGCCCCCTGAATCTGCTAATATTGGAGAGCGAGTTACATTTCCCGGGTTTGAAGGCGAGCCAGACGATGTCTTAAACCCAAAGAAGAAAGTATGGGAGACACTTTTGGTGGATCTAAACACAAATGAGAATCTAGTTGCTTGCTACAAAGATGTTCCCTTCACTACATCTGCAGGTGTATGCAAAGTTTCATCCATCAGCAATGGCACAATCCGGTAAAAGCTTCCTTGAGCCATAAGTCATCTAATTTTCTCCATTTCTATCTTTCTCTGTAAGGGGGAAACGAAACGTATTTCTGAGATTTTCATTTGAAAATTTGATTCTAATTACAAACAGGTTATTGTAAACTTAAAGCTTGTTACAATTTTGGTTATCGATTGATGTTGTGAGAAACATTCAGCTTTATAAATTGGGCCCAGACGCAAAACAACCACACAACTTGCGATTTCAAATTTTTTATGGTACTAGTTGAGGTTTTGTTGATGTTGATGTTGATGTTTTTCTTAATTATTTAATAATCTAAATCTCGTGTTTTTAGAAAGTCGCATCATTCTTTTCTGGTGGTTCCTAATTTTGTTCGCTACTTGTAATACGTATAGGGTTGTATTCAATCGAACATTTGAAGTGATCATGTTATTCAATAATAAATTTTAAATCTTTTGGTTATTGAAAACACTTAAAGCATTGGACTTTTAATGACTTTTTTTTTTTTGTTGACAGCAGGATTTTTAATGACTTTAATTAAGAGATTTTGGAGAACGCCAATTTTGTTGGCTTGAGCCCACTGAGCGTTACAAACTACACCAACCCTTCGGATTAAAAGACCTTGTGTTTCTTTTTTTTTTTTTGAATAAAATGTAAATTTATTCGAAAAAAACTTTTTTACATCGAGTGCAGCGTTTGTTTTAGCGGTTTTTGAATACATAGGTCAGAAATAAAACAAAGAGACGCGCCTTTGTTATCTTGATCCAAACCAAATAGCCATACAACCCAGTGGCGGATCCAGGAGAAAAAGTTGTATGGGGCACCAAGAAAGAAAATAACAAAATCTTTAGAAAAAAAAACAAAACTGAAAAAAATTGTAGCAAAGGAGCATCGAACCATTCTCCTAAGGTCTAATATGGGGCACTCCCATCCAAATGAGCTAAGAGATCTTTTAACAAAACCAATCATTTGAATCATATTTAACAATGAGTATAAGGCACGTGCCTTACCTCATTACAACGTGGATCCGCCCCTGATACAACCGTCGTACCTCCTATCCCCCTGTTCTCGAATGGAGGAGATTCTGTTCCGGATTTGCTTGTCAAGACCCCGGAGCAAATGAGCTGAAGGAGTGGGTGCCTCTCCATGTCGTCGACTGTTCCGTTCTTTCCAAACAGAATGTACCGTGAGCTGAAAGATGTATCTTATCAAGAACAAGCATTCGTTCCCAAGAGACTTATCCGTGAGGAGCTTTATGATTGTATCCCAATTTGTGGTGAAGTGTTGTGAGAGGAGCTTACTAGTAAGTCCTGACCACACTTCCTTCGTGTAGTGACATGTGAAGAACAGGTGGCTGCGGGTTTCCAAGGGTTCACGACAGAAGATGCATGAAGGATCTACCCCGACATTCCAACATAACATTCTATCTCCCGTGGTTAAACGATTCTTTATCGCAAGCCAAGCTAGAAATGAGTATTTTGGCGTGGCGTGTGAGAACCAAATACCTCTATACCACTCTACCTTTGGCTTTGCTTCTCGAGTTGCTTCCCAAGTCTCCTTTGTACTGAACTTTGTTTCTATCTTTTTATGAAAACCCTACATATGGCAAAATCATTAACATTGAATATTTATACAACTTCATGTATGAAATAAAGTTTTGATCAAATTCAGTCGGAAGATAGAAACATAATACTTGTTAAACATAATACCTGGAAGTGGAACAACACCAAAATTTATATTTTGTATATACATACATCATTTGTATATAATTTATCTTTTTCTAAATTAATTATTTATAAAAAGGGTCCTGCTTTTGAATATTTTGATATTTTATGATCTACGAGAATTGAGTAGCCAAATTTTTTTTAATTATTTACGCAAAATGACCTGATTTTTTATAATGAGAGGTTAAGACTCATTGGATTTTAATCTCCTTAAACTAGTTTTGTGATTAGTCATGTTAATTTCGGTGGCGAATCGTTGATGTTTTGCGATCCCATATCATTAATTAATTACATCAACAGGTTGATTTTTACACAACTCTTATTCATCTTATTCTACAATTTGCGACAGACTGTAGAATATTTGGTATGTACCAATAATCCAATACGTTACATTTTCGATATAGAAATAGATTGTGGTTCATATAGGTCTTGGGTTCGTTTAGACCACTCAACGTACAAAGTTAAGTTAAGTTAAATTACAAATTAAATAGATAAAAACAAAATTGAGTGTGACTGCATGAAACCACTAAGGCATATACGACGTTAGAGGGATGTTGGGTAGGTGAAGGTGTTTTTCAATTCTAACACGTGAGGTTTCGTAAGTAGGTATAAGAGCAGGAGTAACCATTTGATTAAATAATTCGATTTCGGTTTAGCTCGGTTGTAGTTTTTGGTTTTGTTTGGTTAAGAAAAAATAAGAAACGTAGTCTATATATTAAGGAAACTTTGCTGTTCAATGTAACACTCAAAAGTAGTAACAACTAAGAATGGAAGATATCATCATCGGCGTGGTGGCTCTAGCCGCGGTTTTTCTCTTCTTCCTTTACCAAAAACCGAAAACCAAACGGTACAAGCTGCCTCCGGGACCATCACCACTTCCGGTGATCGGGAACCTCCTTCAGCTTCAGAAGCTTAACCCACAACGCTTCTTCGCTGGATGGGCCAAAAAGTACGGACCAATCTTGTCATACAGGATAGGAAGCAGAACAATGGTGGTGATATCTTCAGCTGAGCTAGCTAAAGAGCTTCTCAAGACGCAAGATGTCAACTTTGCCGATCGTCCTCCGCACCGTGGCCATGAGTTCATATCCTACGGCAGGCGTGACATGGCATTGAACCACTACACACCCTATTACCGAGAGATCAGGAAGATGGGGATGAACCACTTGTTCTCACCAACACGTGTGGCAACCTTTAAGCATGTACGAGAGGAAGAGGCTAGGAGGATGATGGATAAGATCAACAAGGCCGCGGATAAATCCGAAGTTGTCGATATAAGCGAGCTTATGTTGACTTTTACGAACTCTGTTGTGTGTAGACAAGCGTTCGGGAAGAAGTACAATGAAGATGGGGAAGAGATGAAGAGGTTCATCAAGATTCTTTATGGGACTCAAAGCGTTTTGGGGAAGATCTTTTTCTCTGATTTTTTCCCATATTGTGGCTTTCTTGATGATTTGTCAGGACTCACAGCTTATATGAAAGAGTGTTTCGAAAGACAAGACACTTATGTTCAAGAGGTTGTCAATGAGACGCTTGATCCCAAGAGAGTCAAGCCCGAAACCGAGAGCATGATTGATCTCTTGATGGGGATCTACAAAGAACAACCTTTCGCTTCTGAGTTCACTGTAGATAATGTCAAAGCCGTGATCTTGGTAAGTATAATAACATCTCTTCTTATCTATATTTTAAATCGTTTCTTGCACTACAAGCAATCGTTTGCTTGTGTTTCACTCTTCTTTTTGTTTTTTGGTTCCAAAAGGATATTGTAGTGGCGGGAACAGATACAGCAGCTGCGGCGGTTGTGTGGGGGATGACGTATCTAATGAAGTACCCTAAAGTGTTGAAGAAAGCCCAAGCAGAAGTGCGAGAGTATATGAAAGAGAAAGGTTCAACGTTCGTTACTGAAGACGATGTCAAGAACCTTCCTTACTTCAGAGCCTTAGTTAAAGAAACCCTAAGGATCGAACCGGTGATTCCTCTCCTTATCCCTCGTGCTTGCATTCAAGACACCAAGATCGCCGGTTACGACATCCCCGCAGGGACAACGGTCAACGTCAACGCGTGGGCCGTGTCCCGTGACGAGAAAGAATGGGGACCGAACCCTGACGAGTTCAGGCCTGAGAGGTTTCTTGAGAAGGAAGTTGACTTCAAAGGCACGGACTACGAGTTTATACCGTTCGGGTCAGGCCGGAGAATGTGCCCTGGAATGCGTCTTGGTGCGGCGATGCTCGAGGTTCCTTATGTGAACCTTCTTCTCAACTTCAACTTTAAACTTCCTAATGGAATGATACCAGATGATATCAACATGGATGTCATGACTGGTCTCGCTATGCACAAGTCGCAGCATCTGAAGCTTGTTCCCGAGAAAGTGAACAAGTAATAGATTATATATAGTCAAATAAATCTACCATCTCTGATTCTGTTCCTACAATGTATTTTGCTTCAATGTTTGGTTTCTTTATTAAGTGGCAGTCGTATCTCTATCTTTGTATCTTTTTCTTCACATTTTCATATGAAGGAAGCAAATTCACATGGATGTCTTTTGTGATCCTTATATATAATTATATATCACTGAATGGCTACAAAAATAGAACTAAATACGTATGAAGTGGCTAAGTTTTGAAAGTAGGAGTGGGAATTTTGGTTTATTTTCGGTTTCAGTTCGGGTTAGATTTTAAGTTTAATGCTCTAAACTCAAACCGAAATTAGTTTGGTTCGGTTTAGTTTATATTGATTTTAGTTCGGTTAAAAACCTAAAAAAATCAATTAATAGAACAGTCATATGAAAAAAAATAAGCAAGATGGAAATGTAAACTCAATTATTCAAACAAACAACTAAGAAAAAAATTACATCCAAAACTAGCTAAAGCCCCTGATCACATAAACCAACCTAGGGAAAAAAAGATTCAGAAAATAAAAACCCAACAATCAAACAACAATTAAAGTATATAAAATGATACCAAATTATCAAATACTAGATTACCAATAAGTAATTTTTTTTGTATTTGACAAAAGAGATAATTTTGTTTATTTAATTGATTGGTAAATTAAACAGATTAGGTTATATTGGTTCACTTTGGTTTCAAATCGAACCAAACCATTTAAGGTGAAAAAAGCTTAACCGTTCAAGTTGTGCATGGATTATACTATTATAGTTTTGTTTGATCTTGTTAAAATACCAACCTCTGTTTGAAAGAATTTCATTTTAAAATTAATAAATTGTAACATTGTACAATCAATGACAAGAATCTCATCTAATTGACAAGAGAAAGTGATTGATTGGGTCTTTAAAATGAAACATTGACCTCGTTTCTCTGGTTAGGCATGAGAATCAATAACCGGAGATGACCTTCTTGGCATAACTTGACCGGATTTTTATGCTGTGTGAGGATTGCATTACTGTTGCCTAACAAAACATGAGCAATTATGTAATTCTCTCCTTTCTCACTTGCAAATTGCCATTCCCTCACTGTCAAGTTGAAATAGTCTTTCCGTGTAGACACCGTTGCTTTCACCTCTACGTACTCTTTCTTACCACCCCGGTTTTCGATCAGTAGGTCGTAAGGTAAACCAGTTTCACTCTGGTCGTTAACCCATCTAACCAGAGCCTCATTTCCGTATTTTGAAACAAAGTATCTGTAAGCAATTTCTTCACCTTTTCTACCGGTCTGTTGCGCTTGTGCAGCCCAAGGTGTGCCGGTATGAAGCTGGTCTCTATCGCTGAAATTAGCTGTGAAGGAATTGTTCCATTCATGAGGAAGATTTGGATTGAGATGCATAGCAGCTTGATTCCCTGAAGTTGAGCCACTAATCATATGCATAGAATGCAATGGGTTTGGCTCACTAGCTCGTGAACTTGTGCCTGCACAATTATCATATCCAGAAACCAAGTTGGTATCGGTTATCTCAGTCGGTATTTTTTCCTCAAGAGCCTCTGTTACATACTCTTTGCTGCTGCTAGAGGCCAGCTCTTTTTTAGAATCATCAGTGTTAGTCTTGTTAGAACCACGTCCTGTTTTGGAACTTGAAGGTAACCAACTCAAGCGTATTCCAGCTTTCTTCTTCGCTTTAACAGCAGATTTAAGGGACCAGATCTTTTCACCATCAGGAATCTGATGAACTTTCTGACTGTTCAGAATGAATGAGTCCATTTGCTCCTCGCTCAAACCAGATTCTGCCATTGTTTTTATCAAGTGAAGGAAATTTGCCAAATGCAGATCAGGAACTCCGTTGAAAAACAAACGAGACAGTTCCATGAACATGGAATGGGAATCTAGACATGGTGTTGTGTACAGAGCTTTATCCTGAAGACAACGAGAACAAACATAATAATATCAGTAAAACTACATTATTACAAAACCATTGTCCCAGTCAAGAGGTTATGGCAAAATCTACTTGCATATAAACAGAGAGAAGTTTCAAATAGCCTCAGAGCACAATGTCACAGCCCCTACAATCCCAAAATATATTGGATAAATTGTTGCAAGAAACACAAACGAAAGAATACATACCTGCAGAAGAGCGCTGCATTTGAACTCCCTGTTAGAGCTAATGCCATGTTGCGGTATGACATTCCTATAGCATAACTTATCAACAACAAAGACTTGTAGACGTTTGACTTGACTATGGACTGTCTTTTTTGTTTGGGTGTACTTCTCATGATGAAGAGTAAAGATATATCGCTGTGCGTAAGGCAGAGCCCAGTTAACAAGTGATACTGTTACAGTATTATCTTGCAAACCTTCATATTTCGCTTCACGCTTTACCACCTGAAAAAAATACATGAGTGAATTGGAATTGAGGCCATGGAAACTAATGTTACATAGTAGAAACGGAGACACATATATCAGTTCTACCCTGGTATATAAGGTACAAGATGATGGTTCTGCAGATGGTTTTGGAGTTAGTGCATCAACACAATTCAAGAAAGGCCTACTCTTGTCTTTCAGATCAAATCTAATGTCCCTAAGAAGCCCTTTTACATGTATAACTACGTGGTTACGTTTCAATATATTCTTGTGAAGGAGAAGATTAGTTACCTCAGAAATACTTGGAATGCCTAAGCTGTGCATGAGCCCAGACACTTTTGTTTGAAGCACTTCTTGCTCTTCGTCATCATTTTCCCCAAAGTTAATAAACTCAATGTTATCCTTCTTCTTAAATCTCTTCTTTAACTTCTCATCATCACACCAACATACTAGACCGAACGAGGAGTGCAAGGAAACCCACTTGTCATTTTCAGTAGGAAGTACAGTGTACTCGAGTTCTGAAAGTCTCTCTTTAAAATGAACAACATCTTCGGAAGATTTGCCAGAGTTCAAGTCATCACTCCACTTCAGGAAAATTTTGAAGACCTAAACATAAACTTAACACTTTAGCAAAGAAGAGCATAGATTGAAGATAAACAGGACAATACTTAGTTAAGTAAATCACTTACAGCCTTGGCAGCACATGAGGGTGACACATTATGTGCAAACTGCCCTAGAATTTTAAGGTAATCTTGAAACGAAGGCGTCTCAGGTACTCCACACCCATTCACAAAAAAGTCATGGAGACCTGGATAGATATTGCACAATGATTTCCTACGCAATGGTTCCACAACGCTGCTGATCTGCGAACTGATCTCTTTTATCTCATCTAAAACGCCAGCAGAATCATTCCAGTAAACATCATCAAGTGACAAGAATATTCCAGATACCATATCATTCTGCCTACTTCCAATTCCATGTGGTACAAATACAGACGGGATAGTATGAAGCTTTTCAGTTATTTTCTGCTTTGAATCAGCCATTTCATTCCACAAATATTTGTAAAATCTGGTAATCTGAGAGATGCTGCAAAATTAAAGACAAAGTTGTTTGCTGTTAGAAAATACATCGGCAAAGAACTGACAGACTCGTAAGTCGTATCATCATCAAGGGTTTTTGGAGTCACAAAAAGTGGTGGAAAAACAAACACTTGACTAGAAGACACATGTTGTTACAATATAGAAAGAAAAACAGTTCATCTCAAAATGAATTACATGGACAATTTATCTGAAGTCCATGGACTCTGTTCGTATTTACACATAAAGTCATTTAGAAAACGTTTAGAACTCAGTTCATGTCATCAGAACTAATATTTTAGTGCTAAAAATAAACAAATCACCAGCAGAATATCATTTATCAGCAGTAAATCATCCAATGCACGATAGTGAACAGTAGTTTAAGAACTTCCTTATTTGTAATAATGTGGAACAAGTTTAAAATGAATGTAAATCAGAAAATTCATCTATAAAAAGTAAGAGGTAGTGCTTAAAAACATAAGGACAAAGCTGAAATTGCTTCATAACCATACCTTGATTTGAAATTGTCTCCACAGTGTACCCAAGCTTCTAGGATTTCCAGAGCATCATCGAGGCAAACTTTGGTCTTAAAACCAATATCACTAAGTAATTTGACACTTGTAACCTGTTCCACAGTTTCCCAAATAGAGAGGATGAAAATAAAGAGAGGTTAGATATATAGATGAAAGAACTCCTCCGCTGAGAAAGACATTGTAGGAGGTCCATATGCTAGTGATCATACCAAGCAAAGTTTAAGATATTAAAACAATTTCCTATCTCACAAAGAACCCAAACCTCTAATAAAATTTCAAAATCATCCATGTAATTTTATAAGGCCATACACAAAAGCCAATTTATTCACTGCTTATATTAGAACTAATAGTTGTAATAGCAAGCACACTATAGCATTAGTAAGCAAAACCAAACCAACCTTAGGAACTGCATAGGGAGCATTCATGCCAAGTATAGACTGCACATCATCACAATCATGATAGAGGCCTTTTGCAAGATGCAATTCGCTGTCCATGCTTGAAACTATCCATTGAGAATCACAAATTACCCTCATAAATGAAGATTCTGATGATCTGATGACACCATGCGTACCCGAGTTATAGTTAACAGTTGTTTTTTCATGGTAACATTCATCCCACAGTCTATCAAGGACTTCCAACAGGTACTTGCAACCTTTGCGGCCATTACTTTTGTGCAAGAGAGACAAGAGATCAACTAGTTCTGGGGATTCCCAGTCTTTAACAGTTAACTCAGGAGATAACAAGTTGATATCATACTTTTCACAACGTGAAACAGAATAAAACTCAGCAATGGTCTTTTCAACTTGAACCACTTGAACAAAATCAGCTATTCCAATCTCTTGAAAAAATTCCCGCCACTCCTTCAATCCGCATGCATAAAATTTTGATGCTGGGTGTTTCAAGTAGGTACCATCAACCACATGCCATGAAATATCCAAGTTTTTGGTAAGCTTCTTCATGTTGACCTGGTTTCCAAATTCTTCACCGAAATGAATTGACCCCTCACCGAGCTGTTTCAACCCATAATTTGATAATACCAGAGCTTTGCTTCTTAACTCAGAAATAATGTACTTCCTCTCATTATGACAAATATGACAGCTAGATCGTAGATGTGTCATCACAAAGCATAAGTAATCAACCATCAAACCCTCCACTGTATCTGTACTCCTTGCCTCAAAGGCTGGTAATATATGAACTTTGATGATTTCATGTGCTGACAGCTTTTGAACGCCAATTGCACAAAGCATGT